ACATCGAGTATTTTAATGAAAAGGGTGTGACGGCCTGCTGATTGGGCCCGGGTATGGGACTCTGTGTTGGCAGGTTTGGCTTCCATTATGTGTTCGCTATCAATCTTTCAGACTCTCAAAGATATATTTTTATATATCTATCATTACAGACTATATAATCAAAGTCACGTTTAAATTCCAAATATGATTTATTATTTCACTTATCACTTTAACATCTTTGAAATGGTTTATCACTTCAATAAAATTTCCAAGGAATATCGACTGCGAGCGCTATTCAGCATCCCATACCGCCCGTCTAGAGAGGGCGTATTCAATCTAAAGACTCCTATTTCGTCTCTGTATCTCATAAAAATGATTGCTCGTAATCTATTGGCATCCGATGAAATCTTACTGTCTTATCTGATTCTACGTGACTCAGCTTGAACGAAATTTTCCGTTTTTACCAGACGCAGACGCGAAATTTATCAATATTTGTAACTTTTCTTCTAAAAGTGGAACATTCAACTGATCTAATTCAACTTAACTTTTATAGTGATCTCTTGCCTCGATTACAACTTGTTCTGAGACGTCGGGCATTAGATATCGTCCCTATACGCCTTTTCAGCGGGACACCAATGATAATATAACATTGGTCAATATTTCCCTGGATCATTATGTGCCACCAAGGAGAAAGCATGTTTAACTGAGGTCTCGCAAACACAGAAGTAAAAGCTATTTCTATTTTAATGATGTAGAAATGAAAATGTATATTAGGTGAAAATATTAGTTGCACTAAATATGCCAGTTATGAAACCGTATTGTTAATCAACAGAGTGAAAAAGTTTTGTGCCAAAGACCTTTTTAATACATGAATCTATCTTTGGACAAGATATTAATATGCCAGCTAGTCTCTGGAGTACTAGCTGGCATATTCATAATCATAAACAACCCTATGAATATTATGGAAAATAATACAGCAAGCATTAATTCTCCATCAGAACCTTCGGAAAGCCTAACCGAAAGGACTCCATTATGCAAATTTACCTTTTGCTCCCTAATCTGCTGGTCGAGGACGTCGGCGGTGTGGGCCACGGGCGCCATCCTCTCCAGGCGGGCTTCCATCCTCGCAAGCCATGTCTCCAGCTCAGCGCGCTTGGCGTCGAACTTGTGGGTATCGGCGTACATGGCATCCAGCTGCGTCTTTCGGGCCAGCACGACGCTGTTCGTCTCATCCCAGTGTTCTCGAAGCTTCGACACTGAAAAGGAAAAGGGAAGATGTCAAATGGCGAAAGGGAGATCAACAAATAACTTGTATAGTTACTGCTGGAATACAAGCTCAACCGTTTTCTATGTTCGGGTTCTTGGTTTTCTGAAATGGTGTCCCGTGGTAAGTTGCGGGTAACTAAAGTAAACCTGAAACGAAATGCTGCGTATGTGCTTTGTGTATGTTTTGTCCCGAATTCTGTCAATATTTATAGTTAATCACTCACTACCATGCACAGAGTAGTCATATCTAGGGCAAGTTTAACCCCCCCCTTCTCTCTCTGTCTGTTTGTCTGTCTTTCTCAGTCTGTCTGTTTGTCTGTCTATCTTCCTGACTCTCTCTCTCCATTAACACTCTTGGCCTTAATTCTTTCGTTATCTTCTTTCACTCTTCGACCCTCTCTCCTCATCGTTCATTTTTTTTTCTCTCTTTCTTTTCATTTCTTCGCCCTCTGACTATTTCACACTCCACCTCTTGCATTTACTCCCGTTCCCACAGACTCCCCAACAGCCTTCATCCCCATCGCAGGCCTTCCTTCCCTGCCTTCATCCCTCCTCTCGCCGTTCCATTCTGTTCCGGCGGCAGCGCCCCAGACGGTAAAATATGCAAATGACTCGTGTGTGGTTCTTAATTAAACGTCACTCCGGGGCCGGGCCGAGTGAGAGAGCCTTTAGCGCGGAGGCATCGGAGGCGAGGGTATTAGAGGTGGCAGCGACGGCGGTGGCACTGTACACAGAGGTGGAGTCTCTAATAGGCACGGTTGCGCAGACGGCGGCGGCGGCGGCGGAGTGATGTTTGGGTGAGACAGGACGGTGTCGACGCTATCACAAAGTGGAACGAAAGTGTTCGTGATGGCAGTATCTGACGTGGTAACGAAGGCGCAAGATGTTAAACTGACTGCTGGATAGAATGCCATCGTCGAATTGGCTAAGTCATACGAAATGAAGCCACATACTGTCAGAAAGTGAGAGAAGGAAAGAGAAAAGACCCAGAAGAGGTCCCACTAATAGACGCATCACAAGAAAGGAGAGGAAGGAGGGGGCGGGGACGAGAAGCTTAAGGGATCGTGCAACAAGAAGCATTCATCATGTCAGAATATAATTGCTCCTCCGCATCACGTCCTCGGCAGATCCCTCCCGAGAATCGTGCGGAGACGTACGGAGGGAAAGGCCCGCAGGAAATGTGCGAAGGGTCGAGGAGATGCGGGGAGGTTCAAGGGAAACAGGGCGCTCGGGGAAAGACGGCGAAAACAGAGGT